ACTCTTAAGAAAACTAGATGTTATACATGTTATATAGTCTATCTAAGTGACTGACTTCATGGTGTTAATGACTATATCTGTTGTATGATTAAATTAATATTTGATAAATCTTCATAAAACCATGTTCATGAACTAATCAATTGTGACTTTTTGTCCTATTACAATGTAGTAAATAAGTGACTTTCTGCCTTGTAACTATATCTATCCATTTACCAAGTAATTGACCTGAGGTAGGGACTAGTTTTATAGTAAAGTCCTATCAAAATTTCAATTGACCAGTATTTGCCAGTATTGACCAGTATTTGCCAGTATTTCCCAGTATTTACCGCCGGCATGGTCAACAGGCTTATATTTGTACCACTTGCTATCCTACAGAAGAAAAGAAAGATATTATGTGACATAAAACAGGTACAAAAGACATTGTTAAGTGCTTTTTATACAAATTTAGTGAGGTCTTTATAATGGACTTCAACTTTTATGTTCCAAGCTCCTCACATTTAACTTGATCCAAACAGGCGTTAGACGAGGATCATATATACAACACATTTTGCACATATTGTCTGAGATAATCTTCTTTTCTGTAGATTCAGAGTTCACAAATGAGTAATACATCTGGATTGAAGCATAGAAACACAAATATTGACACATAAAAACCTGTCAGATAGAAAGTCAGAATGCCACTTATGCATCAAAATTGAAAAAGCTATGAAATGCTTATTTTGACCATAAAATGCCAAAATTGGTCATTTTTGCAGAAATTCTATCAAATATAAGTTTAAATCCTTTAGTTTTATGCTATTTGGTAAATTGACACCATCAAATCATTCAGGGAAGTTGCCAAAGTACAGATTCTATATTTCCTGATTTCACCTCTTAGGTCCGAGTACACAGTTATTTCGTAGTGCATTTCTTTTAGACAATAAATGAAAATTAAAAAAATCCCACCTGCGCTTTCTCAATAATATTTTTACAGTGTGTTGTACTACTTTTGGGACAAATTATATCAAAATTATAGAAAACTTCATCGGCTCTAACTCAAAATATGGACAATTTCATGTTAAGGGGGTCTTCAAATCTTTTGACAGCTTCTGAAGTGCTAATTTTTAACATTTTTCAGCTGGACCAAATCACTACTTTACTTTAAAATTCATGACCCAATTTTTTTACAGTGTCATTTCACCCCCCTACTTACTATTTGAGTCATAAAACATGGAGAAATAAATTTGGAAGGGGTATAAAAAAAATCAACAAGTAACACACTGTCCACACTAGGGACTATATTCGTGGACAATGAAAATCAAAGGACGATAACTGTGTACCCGGACCATTAAGTACTATCATTGCTTCTATTTCTTTCCCCTCTCCGAAAAGTACCTTTCAGGTTGAGGAAAATGTCCAACAACCAAAATATACATGAAAAAACAGTGCAAAAAAGACAGCAAAGGTCAGCAAAAAATCGGAGATGTGTTTAGAATAAAATATACAAATTTCCCAATTTCAATAAAAAATATGCATTTTTCCCAATAAAAAACGGTAGAGGTAGTTTTGAAAAAAGACAACAAAATCATGGACAATGAAAATCTCATTTGTCTGTTGTCTTCAAAACACTGCTCATTTACAAGCCTCCAAGGGGCAATTTTTGAAGTCAATTTTTTTGCGCAATTACTTAAGATCTTTTAGAGAAAAATTGTTTAAGGCATGTTTTAACATCCCAAATCTGGAGAATTTTACGGACTGTAAAAAAAATTTACTTTTACAAGTAAATTTTTTGAGAAAATTAAGGGGAGATTATTCAAAATTTATAAGAAACTATGAATATAACAAATTTACTTATATAAGTATATTATTATTTACTTCTTCAAGAAAAAAAATAACTTGTACAAGTAGTACCCCTGACTGATAGTGTTAAATAGTTTTAACTATTGATTGTTTTAATGTTCTTCAAGATACTACTACAGTTTAGTAGTTCAATGGTTCAATGTTAAGAAGAAAAGTGTTCACTTCTATGTATTTAACTGCACACCTACCCTTATTACTGTTATTATACATGTACATTGAACAATGGATCAAGTGATTCCTATTACCAAATTTGTTTTGGGTGAAAAATTTAAAACTTGGGATGCGTTTGAATCGAATCTAAAACAATATCGATCAAGACTTAAATTTTATACAGTTATACAAACGCAGTTCTAGAAAAATTGATACACCAAAAGCAAAGTTTGCTAGCAGTGAACTAAAATACTGCAAACTGTTTCACCAAAAATGCATCAGACTGAATCATGTTCCCAAAACAACATACTGGAAGTGTAGAAACTGCCATTGTAAATAGAAAATTAAAAAAATTGTATGCAATATTGTAAAATTCAAATAAAAGTTTTTTTAAGTTTTATTTTAATACATATTACTAGTCCCAGCATACATTGTAGTGCAATAACGTAACAATAACACAATAGACACAAATATTATTGTTACATTCGTAATAAGTTGGTTCCTTAACCAACCCTGCATTCCGGCAATTAGTCTCAAGTGTAACAATAACTTTTTTATTATTGTTACATTTCAATGTAACCGAAGCCAGTGCCTAGAATGCCGGGTCTCACTAATTAGCGACAAGAAGCGTCAAGAAGCAACAAGAAGCGTCAAGAAGCGACAAGAAGCGTCAAGAAGCGACAAGAAGCGTCATGAAGCGACAAGAAGTGACAAAAAGACCATTTAGCGACAAGAAAACTTAAAATAATTCTTATTAAACTTATTCCAAATAAATATATTAAAAAAATATGCATTGACATTTTTTTTTATATTTACGGCCAGTAATAACGTGATTTTCATTATTTTCATTATATTGATAGATGAAGAAATTAAACATTTGTAAACTTGAAGAAAGGGGTTGTCTAGTTTCTATTAAATATAACGAAATATGTTTAAGATAATGTATGTACTGTTTTAGGCAAAGTCATTGTATGAAAAAGTTAAATCACCAAAGTACAACACTCCGAATAAAAGATTGAAGATAACAGTACACACAATGTGAAACATCAAATTAAATGAGAAGACGTTACTAAGTTAAAAAAAATTGTGTCTAATCCATTTGTCCTTTTTGATAAAAAAAATTTGTTTAGAAAAAAAAAAACAAATGAGAAAAGGTTACGCGTGTCCTTTGTTTTAATGTACTACAATAACATCCAATTATCACCTTTAACTTTGTACACGCGTCAGACTATACAATTACACATGCCAGAATATACAAGCATTGTAAATAGTGAACACCTGTTGAAAACTCAACATTGTCTTTAATTACCTTTAATCTTCAGTCATGCATAAACATGATAAATATCGTTTAATGAGGCAATACACAAAATAAAATGATGTAAAATATTTACATTCAGACTACACGAATGAATTTTATTTTTACAGGACATTCGGTCTGGTAAACAACCTAGCTTTACCAGACCGAATGAAATTTTACCTGACCAATTTTTTTTACATCTAATTGTATATTATCCGACAAAATACAACAATCTTATGACTTGTTGTGCTCTTCTCCTCTCCAAAATGCACAAAAACAAAATCATGTGACAAGAGTGTATACATGTATTTTGATGAAAGTTGTGCACAATTGCTTGAATGCATTTCAGTGATAAAGAAAAGTAATGTCACATTTTATTGGATTTTGACATGAAAATTATTTGTGAACTAAAAATTTCGAGTTTCTGTATAAAATATTTCCTGTATTTTCTTTCATTTTCATATATCTTTTGGTTTTCAATTCTAGTGTTTATATTTCATAGCTGTATTTTGTGAACCTGCTTGGATTTTTTTTTTATGTTTCTATTGTATTTGATCGGCAAACCCGGAAATTGACCTTATCCGTTCCCGGAATCTGATCCGGTATTGTTTATATTTCCGGTTAATAGCAGCCATTGATGTTTTTGTCATTCAGATATGTTTTTACTCGGATTCACACATTACTTGTATGCGATTTTCGGCATAAAGCTAGCGGTTGAACAAAATAAACATCGCTGTCATGAATAATAAAGATGAGAATGAATTTTGAGATCGTTTGGGAATTTTGCCCCCAAAATTGGGAAATGTAGGGTTTTTAAAAAAATCCATGAAAAAACAACACCGGACATTCAGACCGGAATTCAACAAAATTTTACCAGACCGATCCATTATTCACCGGATTTGTCCAACGGTCCGACGTATTTCATGTAGTCTGTACGTTTTAATTACGTTTTGCTCTTGTTTGATTTCAATGATTTCAGATTTGTATAGTAAATCTTACTATACCAATCCTTGGATCATTGTTTCTAACAAATTATTTTTTCTGCCGGACAATGATGCACAAATAATGCTTTGCATGCAGTCAGTTTATTATATTTTAGACAAAGAGTGTGTTAAAAAAATTATAAGATAATATATATAATTGTTCTAAAACACAAGTAAAAATTAATGTCATAATATGACAGGGAAAACGTAATATTTGCTGTAATACATATCACAAATAAATGTAGCAATTAGATCTATGTTTCAAACATGTGTGAAGCTTTACTATTATAGATATTGACTTTTTTATAAATTTATATTTATTGATAGAATATTAAATTTCTTGTTGCTAAATTTGTTTTCTTGTCGCTAAATAGTGTTCTTGTCGCTAAATTATTCTTCTTGTCGCTTCTTGTTGCTAAACTTCTTGTCGCTAATTAGTGAGACCGAGAATGCCTAATCAAAAATTAAAAGAATAGGGGTAACTTTTGATTTGGTTTATTTTTCACTTTGGGTTCGTGTGGATAGTAGAAAAGGTATTGTTATCGGCCAGTTATGCCTATGGTCATGCAGGAACATATATATTGATATACTGTTCCCAGGGTCATGATGGTATCCGATGAGTTATGCATGTATGGAGTTACGAGAATTGTTTTGTCTAAAATCAAAATTTCAAATGATATTATTAATAATTAATGGAATGTAGAAAAAGACATTAGTACACTTGAGCTTACAGTTTCTATTCGGTGTCTCTTTTACTTTGAAATGCCTTTGGTCATTAAATGCAGAGAAAGGGCTAAAGCAAAATTGAAAAAGTAAAACGTGATTTCGCGCACCTTGCTCCAAATAAAACTTGAGTTTCTTTACAAAAAACGTCTTATCTTAAACGTTCAAAAGAATATGACAAAACCTCCAATTTAAGAGAGGAGGGACTGTTTATTTATATTTTTAGAGCCAGTACAAGTAATAACTTTTCTAAAAAGCTTGTCGTATAACAACTGATTATATCAAACCTTGTTCCTTTTTTTGCATGGTAGTTTCAGAATAGTCATTCGAACATATTGTAATGGGGGAGGAAATGGAACGTTTTTCAAAATGTTTAGTTCTACCTGGGACTGTAATAATCCCAGGTTCTACAGTACACAGGCACTTGTTTTTGAATTTTTCCCCCCTATATATATGTAAGAAAATATTTATCAGAGATTTGGACAGCAAAACTGTAAAGTGTTAACCAGTATAAAGAGATTGAATGAACACAACCACGGTGTGACTAGCAGACAGTCGAATTTCAGCAATCTCTGCAATTGTAAGAAGCAAAGATGTTCATGCGTTACAGAAAAATAAAGCGGATATTCATAATGCGGCGATTTATGATGAAAATGTATCTGTTATTTAAACACTATTACCTGTATTATTGGCGCAAGTGAAATGTTTAATTTCGGCGAAAATGAGATATGGTTTTTGCGCAAATGAAAGACTTTTTTACCGCAAATAAAATGCCAATTGGCGCAAAAGCAAAACAACGAATAAAAGGGCATATGATGAGCAGAGTCATGTATTTCAGTGATTTTTATAATTGAGAGAAACAATTAATTTTGACATTTTGATATATAAATATATTGTATAGAATGACTAAAATCACCTTATTTTATGATATTAGACTTACGATTTATTTATGAAGACTATTGTAGCACTTACCAACAACTGTTAATTAAATCAAAACTACCAAGTTTGAAAATCAGAAGAATTAGGATGATAGAGGTGTATAAAATTATAAATAAACAATGTCCATTATATTTACATGAACTTATTGAAATTAAAAACTGTAATTACTCTTTCAGAAATAACAATATAGCAGATGTTCCCAGGGTGAGGACAACTACCCATGGGCTACACTCATTCAGATATGCAGGAGCCAAACTCTGGAACGAACTGCCGAATAAGATGAGGGAAGAAATGTCTTTGGGTCAGTTCAAAAGTTTGGTTGGTAATTGGGAGGGCAGTTCGTGTCAGTGTTCCAGGCTCCTGCAGATCTCATTGAGCTGTAGATCACTTATTTATCTTGTATACTCTGGCTTTTATATTTTGTTGCATACTTTTTTATTTGTGTTTTGAATGCTAGAATTACTTTTAGTTCTTTATACAATAGCTTTTGCATGAATATTAGTTTGTCTGCATTGTATGTTTGCTTTATATGCTTTAATTTGCTTATTAATTGCTATAATCTGCTGTGCATGATACAAGTATATATGCTTTGCATGATGTGCTTACTGTTTAATGTGTTCAAGTTATGTCTTGTGCTTATCATATATATGTATGTCGGATAAAAGCTCTACAGATTATGTTGTATTGTTATATGTATACCCGACTTTAAATAAATCTTTTTAATTATTTATTTATTTATATTCATAGACCACTGCCAAACCAGAGCCATAATTGTATGTTTAAATAAAAAGGCATTCATAAAAAAGGCAGTGACTATTTTGCCGGTTCTAGGTAAGCGGAGGAAGCCAATTTTGCCAGTAAAAACGAATTTGTTCACAGATATGCAATTCAAAGAACTGTCTTTTATTTCAAAGGCAAATTTAATTCAAAAATTTTTGATTTTGAAGCTATGTGATTGATTTTGTAAGATTGTAAAATGTTTTATCAAATTTATATGCAATGAGATTTTTAACTTTTCTTTTTTTACAGCATACTATACAGTTAAAAACAATCTGAGATGTTATTCTTATGCATATGATACATGTAGCATTAGAATGTGATTGATTTTAGAAATAATTTCAACTACATGTTTTGATATGATTCCTATGCTACAAATGGATGATGAATATTTTTATTTTTATTTCTTTTTTATAAATTCTTATTTTCACGTTGACTGATAAATGTTTTTGAACGATTATATGTATCTCAAATATTGTTACTGTTATATAATTCAATTATATGAGAAACAATTTGATTCTTTTATGTTGACAACGCACATTTTAGTAGTAATTTTCAAAAGTAAATATTAAAATTCACTCTTTACATAAAACCAGCAAAATAACAAATTCGCTATATTGCCGGCGCCGGCAAAATAGCCATTTCTATAGAAATATGCTATTTTGCCGGCTTTAATTAAAATATTTTACTTAGTAATCAGAGCCGGCAAAATAGCCATTTCTATAGAAATATGCTATTTTGCCGGCTTTAATTAAAATATTTTACTTAGTAATCAGAGCCGGCAAACAAGCATATTTTCTATTTCTAAGGCAAATATCCCGACGTTAATGGGTTACTTATAAACACTTCTGTGGTATGTTGATAATTTTCTGAGTTCAAAACATTTATTAAATATAAGTTCCAATAAATTTCGATAAATCTAGGTTTTTACATGAATATATGAATTTATAAGATATATTCATATAACATAATGTGATCAAAGATATACATGTCTACCGTTGAAGACGAATTACTATTATTTTAATATTTGATGTATAATAATTTGCTGTCTTTATCTGCTGACTCATTTTGCTTCAATATGATTAAAATTCAGATCTATCGTAACTCTCCCTTAATCCGCGTATATAAAAACCTTGCCTCCTTATTCTTTAAAATCGTCATTTATAGTTCGAAGTAATATTCATTCAGCAATGATATACCCAGAGCAGTAAGACACGATCTTGAGTAATGTCAAAAAAAAAAAAATATACAGAGTTTCAATAAAGAAAAACTTGAAAAATGAAAGAAACATTTTAGTTTTTAGTTTCATACTACAACTGAGCGATTTTATATCAATCTTATAAATACCAGACGTCAAATAAAATCGGAATGGTTCCAACACTGGCAACAGCTAGGAGCGAATTTTAAGAGAATATGGAAGGAGGTAAACTAATGGCAAAGCTCACATCGAGTCTTTGGGTCTTGACAGATTAAAAGGGGAAGTCAACTTAAACAGTTTTATTACTCCCAGCTAGTTAAACCATTGCCTGTTGGTAAAAAATCATCAGTAAATAATGGAACAATTTATATCTATTCCTGATTTTTTTCCAGCTTGTGGATCTCTTTTGATTTCTGTTTCTTTATGATAAGAGACATATTCACATTCCATCTGATTATCAGTCTATTTCAGCGCTCTGATTTTCAATAAAGTATATTCTACCAAATATAACCTCGTTCACGGTCCATTCTATGTTTAACTTCGTTTTTTTCCATTGAGATCAAGAACGATCTTTCTGTACAACAGCAGTTTAGACTAACTTTTGCAGACGAAGAAAAATCTCATTATTACGACCTACTGATTGCAAGTGAAACAAGAAACATACCAATGTTCTTTATTTAACGAAATTGTATGCTGATAAACTGTCTCGTATGGTATGATTGAAATGTATTGGTTTCAAATGTTATCATATATGCCCTTAAATGCAATTTACTTCACCACTTTATCTTGTTGATTAATTTGCGCTATTGGCCATACGTTAGTTCAAACCAATAGAAATATAATTTGTACTATAAATTCATGAATCCACATTAAGTCCTGACAAACTAATCAACGATACAAAAATAGACACAAGATAAAATTTGATACCGAGATTTGTTACCTTAAAACGTCTTGTTTTCTATGTAGTTCTATGTCTGATACAAAGTAACCAAATTTGTACAGGAAGTTATGTGACTATCAGAACTGTTTTGAATTCTTTTAAAATCATGTCTAATTTGACTGTAAATAAACCGGATTTAGAATCTGATCAGATTCACTTTCATTCCATTGATTCGGAGATAAGTTTTCAGAGAATTAAAGATCTTCCTAAGAAATCTAAATATTATGGTGCACATAAACGGTTGTCGTGGATATGTGAAAGAGATGTACAGAAGTTTGCAAAGGATACAAAACTTGTTACGCTTGAACTTGAGCGTTCCCAAACGTTTTATAAACAAAAACTTAAAGATTTAAAGGAAACTAGAAAGAACTTGACTTCAGCTGTTAAGAAAGATAAAGATATCCGCTGTAAGAGTTGTTCCGATATTGAAGAAGAAAATGAAGTTAAAACCAGTAGTGAAATTATAACAGAAGACGACAAATTGGATGCGACCGAGGGCTTGAAACCACCACCACAAGTGATGGGTAGACGTTTTACCATGCCAAATTTGTCTAAACTACCGTTTGAAAATAACACTGTGAAACTTAAGACTCACATAGACATCTAGGAATAGTTTGCTGTGACTGTCGTGTTTGCTTTGCTGAAAAATTACACTTTCACTCGTTCGTTTTCAACATGTTTGTGCATAATATTATTGTTTATGTTTCCATAAACAGACAATCTATTTGAAAATAATGAAACGAACTTTGCACCAGTAAGTTGTTTGTACCGACATGCTTTTTTCGTTTGCAAAATAACGCAACAAAATCTCTTGATTATATTGTCTTATTTGTCCATAACATAATATTTAGAACTATTCATCTTATTGTCTGATTTTATAATAGCATTTAATGGTCTTGCTTATGTAAATAGAACAAGAACTTGCACGCGTTGTCGTGTTAAAATTTGTTAAGTATCGGAAAACAGGGTGAAATTTCTGACAGATCCAAAAAGCTATATCAAGCTACAGACCAAATATGAACCATTGTGGTCAGTCGTACTGGAGAAATGTGCGAGGAAATATTCATTATATATCTAACATATTCAAATATTCAAAGTATCAGCGAAGAAATTATATCCCGGCGTATCTGACGTGAGACCAGAAAAGCGCTCACATGTTACAATTATTCATGGTCAATATAGAAGATGTGGTATGATTGCCAATGAGACAACTCTCAACAAGAGACCAACTGATGTAGAAGTAAAACCAATATCGCATAGCAAGCTATAAAAGACCCCGAAATGAC